CTGGACAAAGATCTTATATGCATGTATGCAGTACCTATGGACACAGACAACAGGGTGGTGAGGGCAGAGGGTAGGGTGGGAACCAGGTGGAGGGAAGCTAAGGGGGGAAAAAGAGGAACAACTGTAATAATCTGAACAATAAAGATTTAATTTAAAAAAATAAAAAAAGAGACCTTCCTTCTGTAATGAAACTAAGAGCAGGTAAATTAAAACTTATTTAGCAGTTAATGTTTCATTTTTTTTAAAGCATTTAGATGTTTACCATTTAACCCAGCAATGCTTCAAAGCCTTTAAGTTAATTAAGAAAACTATTATAGGAGCAGGCTTGGATTTGAACTGCTACATTCTTCCTTAGAGATAATCTCTAAGGTTACTACTATGGCTTCTGTTTCTGGCCCTCGGGGCCAGCCCTTCCCTAGGCCACTTGTTCTACAATTGTGAACATAATGTTAGTTTTGTGTTTTTGCCTTTCTTATTTTATGTATAATGATAGTCTGAGCTTCCTTTAACAGCTTTTCTGTACTTCTGCAGGTGGACTGAGACCAAGGAGGGCATCAGAGAAGAGAGTAGGGAGAGAGAGATTTTTATTTACTTATTTTTTTGCTTGCTGCAAGCTGCTTTGCTGACAAGGGTCTGGTTCGTTTTTGACTCCTTCTACTGTCCTGCTTTATTTTCTTTAACCCGTTAGGATCTGGATTTTAGGGTCCCTTGAACAAGCAGCAAGCCTTAAACAAAGGCTCCCCTTTTCCAGACAGCCATAGCTGACCCCCAAATCACCCCCCGTCTCTTTCTTCCCACCAAGAAAGACGCTTGCCTCTGCTTCTATCTAGGGACAGTGGTGGGGCAGGGACCAGGGACCCCATTCAGGCCAGAGAAATGTACCCTGCAATTAGACCCTGGCTTCTCTGAAAAAAACCCTGTCTACCTCTCGCCTCCTTAGGCAACCTGGTGGTCCCCCGCTCCCGGGAGGTCACCATATTGGTGCCGAATTTAGTGCGGACACCTGATCGGCATAGTGCACTACAGCCCAGAACTTCTGGGCTCAAGCGATCCTCCAGCCTCAGCCACCCGAGTAGGCCACTGCTCCCGGCCTTCGTCTCCAGGCGGCAGGACTTGGCTTCTTCTTTATTTCCTTAGTTTTTATTTTTCCCCTCCCCTCTTCTCCTGGTAGGAAGAGATAAGAGCCAGAAATTAACAGGCTAGCAATAAATTAGCCCCTTTTTAAAACTTCTCTTTGACATTTTTATGACTTTACACTTTTTTGCAACTAGTTAACTTTAGAGCTTACTTTTTTCTCGCTTTTCCTTTCAAGTAGTAAACTTGCCTGGGTTGTAATCTTTACAAATTTTATACCTTGAAATTAACCTGAGAATTTTAAAATCTAGCCCAACACAAGGAAGAGCAAATTAAAGTCTCTACTTTACAGATAGAAACCTCCCAGCTAAGAGTTATTTGGCGAGCTAATACTTAAAAAATAAAGATAAGGACGATTAATGTCCTCCTGCAATCTCCCTTACAGTCCAGTCCTACTGGGCTTCCCCCTCAAAGCAGGGCTGGCTTGCCCCAAATAAAATAAACAAAGAGACAAAGACATCAACAAATACTCTTATGTTTATAGCCAGACATCTCTCACAGTTAACAAAAGCACACAAAAGCACAGGAAAATACAAAGCTGGCCAGTTAGACTTATATTTACACTAGAGGCCCAATGCACAAAAATTTGTGCATGGGGTGGGGGGTCCCTCTGCCCGGCCTGTGCTGTTTTGCAGTCTGGGACCCCTCGGGGGAGACCACCTGCTGGCTTAGGCCTGCTCTCTGGGGGATTGGGCCTAATCTGGCAGTCAGACATCCCTCTGGCAGTCTGGCAGCCCTCGGGGGATGTCCACTTGCCAGCGGGGAGCAGGCCTAAGCTGCAGTCGCACATCCTTAGCGCTGCTGAGGAGGCGGGAGAGGTTCCCACCACCATCACTGTGCTGAGCCACTTCAGGGTGGGGGGTCCTGCTGGGGTGCCTGGCCAGTCTGGGTGGGGGGCTGAAGGCTGTTTTCAGGCTGGCCAAGCCCCCCAGAGGGGACCCTCACCCCATGAGGGTGTGGCCATCCGCAGTGAGGGGCTGATGGCTGTTTTCAGGCTGGCCACAGCCCCCAGCCACCCAAGCTCCCAGTGGAGGCTGGCTGGGAGCAGGTATCTGGGATTTATTTGGCTTCTATAATTGAAACTTTGTTGCTATGAGTGGAGGCCACAGCCAGCTCAGGGCAGGAGGGAAGCTTGGCTTCCTCCATCACCCAGGCAACCAAGCCTCCTGCTTGCTCCAGCTCTGTGGCTGTCGGCCACCATCTTGGTTGGGTTAATTTGCGTATAGTCACTCTGATTGGCTGGTGGGCATGGCTTGGGGTGTAGTGAAGGTATGGTAAATTAACATCTCTGTATTTTATTAGTGTAGATACCAGTCAATCCGAGCCACCTCCCCTGCCCCAAAGTCAGGCTTGAACTCGGACTGCACTTCAGCAGACATATGCTCGGAAGTTAAACAGTTAATTGGATTTCTGCCCAATTCCCCTAACAAAAATAGACTTGGAGGCCTAACAGAAACAGACGTGGGCCCCCCCCGAACCCACACCCCAAGAACAGGATTCTCGACCAATGTCTCTGTGAGAACCTAGCGGAGAAGTTACGACTGCATCCAGTCCTTCTTCTCAGTAGCAAAATGACTGGTCACGTAAGCAAACAGGAAGATGAACTAGAATTTACTTAATCAGATTTACTCACCTCTGGAGGTTTATTGTTGTTGTTGTTGTTTGGGCTCCGAAAGAATGCAGGGGCATGTCAGGCATCCTCCATTTGGCTGCCAGAACCACTGAGTGTCTCCAGGGCCCTGGAAGCTTTTCAGGGGGTGCATCCCCTGGGGACCTTCTCAGGGACTGGCAGCCAGGCCGGGGGAGGCCGTCGGCCCTCGGCATCTGAGACAGAGTGCTGGTAAGCACTATTCCAGACAAGCCCCCAAATGTTATATTGTAAATCAGAAGACGTCTTAATCAATAAGCCAAATTAATTTGGAGTCTTTTTATTTCACTAGTGCTAGCAGGCCCAGAGGAAATATTGCTTCTCAAATTCTGGGGCCCCAAATAGAGGACATCTTTCCTATTTATATCTTTTTCAGTTCTTTGTCTTCCAACTTTGAAATGAGACTTCCAGACCTTCTGAGAAAAAGGTCCTGTATGCTGGGACAGGGCCGTAAGACCATATCTCAAGGCCTGGCCTAGCGTCAACACTGACAATTCTGTCTGGGGCATAGTTATGGCCTCTCTGGAATGAGAGTAGTCTTATTTTCTCTATTGTTTAAGCATGCAAACATTTACAGAAGCCAAAATAGCAGGGTTAAAGTTTTAAACAGCAGCTTTTACCCAAGATGGAGGTTACTATGCTTCAAGACAAACTTTTTCCTGACTTCCTTGCTTCATTTCAGTTCTGACATAAATGAGTCCACCTCGGCAATCTCTGTTCACATACTGTTGAATGCTAGGTGATGAGTGATAGATACTCTCATGTGATCTTAATTGTGTGTGTGTGTGATGTTTGGGACACTAAAATGTGCCCTCTTGCCCTGGCTGGTTTGGCTCAGTGGACAGAAAGTCAGCCTGTGGAATGAAGTGTCCTGGGTTTGATTCCAGCCAAGGACACATGCCTGGGTTGTGGGCTTGATCCCCAATAGGAGGCATGTAGGAGGCAGCCGATCAATGATTCTCTCTCATCATTGAGGTTTCTCTCTCTGTCTTTCCCCCTCCCTTCCTCTCTGAAATCAATAAAAATATATATTAAAAAAATAAAAAATAAAATGTGCCCTCTTGCCTAAGTTTTGCCCAAGAAAATTATGTGATAAATTAAAGAAGCTAAATAGCCCAGCCAGTGTGACTCAGTTGGTTGAGCTTTGGTTCACACACCAGGAGGTCACTGGTCAATTCTAGTCAGGGTGCATGCCTGGGTTGTGGGCTTGATCCCCAGGGCAAGCAGGAAGCAGCTGATCTCATTGATGTTTCTATCTCTCTCTCCCTCTTCCTTCCTCTCTTTGAAATCAATAAAAACATATCTAGAAAAAAAAAAGCTAAATAGACATAACCAAATATGGACCTAGACTGCCTTTGAGTTAAAAAAAGAAAACAGGTTCAAAAGACATTTGCCCAACAATTGAGGATGTTTGAATAAAAATAGATATTCAAGTCTTGTGGTGTGGCTCAATGTTTGAGCACCAACCTATGAACCAGGAGATCAATGTTTGATTCAGATCAGGCTAAATGCCCAGGGTTTTGGGCTCAATCACCACTAGGGATCACTGATGTTTCTCTCCCTTTCAGAAATCAATAAAAATATATGAAAAAAGAATAGTTATTCAATATTATGCAAATGTTAACTTTTTGTTATTTTAATTTGATGATTATAATTTTGCCTTCTCTTGCCATTTTATTTTTTGCAATGCTTATTTTTAAAAATGTTTTTTATTGATTTCAGAGAAAGGATGGGAGAGGGAGAGAGGGATGGAAACATCAGTGTGAAAGAGAGTCAGAAACATCAATGATGAGAGCGAATCATCAATCAGCTGCCTCCTTCACAACTCCAATGGGGATTGAGTCCGAAACCCAGGCATGTGTCATTACTGGGAATCCTCCTGGTTCATGGGTTGATGCTAAATCATGGAGCCACACTGGCTGGGCTGCAATGCCTATTGAAAATGGTTTCTGTTACCAAGGGCAGAACACTAATTGTCAAGTGTTGACCTTAAAAATAAAACAGCTAGTTATTTTGTTATATTTAAATTCAGCGAGACACCACAGCCAGAGGGTCGAATTTTGGAGCTTTTTATTTTAAAGCTGACTCGCCGGGACCATGAAGGGCTTTTTGCCATTCCAAACCTTGTGGTCCTGAAATGAAATTAGGGGTATGCTTATAAAGGCAAAAAGGAAAAAAACAACAACTCTAGGATTGGTGCCATGAGACCCTATCTCAAGGCCAGGCCTGGAGCCAGCCCTGACAACTCCATCTGAGAGTATTTTAGTTTATGGCCTTTTCAACATGGTTAAGCAAACAGGTCCTGCAAAATAGACAATTTAAGAGGGAACAGTGATCAGACTATAAACTGATAAGAACGTACACCAGATTCCTGTCACAGGCTCAGATTTCCAGGCCAGGCTCAAATTTCCAGCCCCCTCATCCGCTTTTATTTTCCCATTATTCAAGCAAGCATATTTACAGAAGCTAGAAATAGCATAGTTACTTATCTGGGTTAGCTATATCCTGGATTTAATGGACCATTAAATGGACCATTTGTGCCTGAAAGGCAGTTCTAACAAAATTTATGGGAATAAAATGGAATGCCTATGGTTCAGATAGAGGGCAAGAGGACGGAACAGAGTCAGTTCTTTCAAGGTCCATTCTTCAATTTTACTGTAAAAATAGGTTTGGGAATAGCAGAGAATTTAAACAGGGGACAAGCGAACTATTGCAAAAACCAAAGGCGAGTCCAGCAAGCAAAAGAGAGGAATGCTACTCTACAGAGAAAAAGGAGGAAGTGGGGAGGGGTTGTTTTGAAAGAAAGTCCATTGGAAGAAAGCGAGAGTTAAGGGTGGTGATGGTTTCTCATCGGCTGAGATGCTGGGCAAGGGAGGAAATCTTCCTTTCTCTTGCTGGAGCAGTAAAACAGTATATACTGTTGCAGTAGACCAAAGAAATACCAAGCACACTTCCTAGAGAAAGGGAGGGACCCCATTTATTAACACTAGTGGACTCCGGGAATAATTTCCAAATCAGAGTGAAGAAACACACAGAGGGATTCACTTTTTATAACCTTCTGGGGTCTTTTTTCTTGCAGATATGGTTCCGCCCCCTTTCATGGGCTGACAGGAAGGCCCCCAGGTGTTGAAGTCCCCAGGCCATATCTGATGATCTGTCCTGGGGCCAGCAATAATGACCTCCCTGCCACCCCCAGGGCAGTGCACTGTTCACAGTTTTTAAGGCCTGACACGCCTTGCAAGACCAGCTTCCTCCTTACTCTCCCCCTGTCCCCCTTGTCCCACAAGCTTCTTTTAGCTTTGTGGAGCAATGACCATGGGATGTTATGGTGAACAGGGGCTACCACCGCTCTTAGCTACTTCCTGCTGGAAAGGGATGATGACCAAGGGGTTAGCATCCTGCTTCTTCCTCTCAGAGGGGTTTGTAGGGAGTTCTTCTGGTTTCCGTGACAGGTCACTATCCAATACAATCCCTTGATTGTCATTGGTTAGTTTAAAGAAGTCCTGGGTGTGGCTAGCAGAGGCTTGGGCTTCCAGGAAGAAGCCTTGCCGAGCACATGGCCAAGGTAAGATGGAGGGCGTAGCCCTTACCCTGGGGCAAGATGGAGGGCGTAGTCCTCGCCCTTTCAGTGTTACCTTCCCCTTAATTAAAACAAAAATCCCCTCCTTGAGGGTACGTTTTTTATTGATTTTAGAGAGGCAGAGGGAAAGGGAGGGAGGGGGAGAGTGAAAGGAAGAGAGCGAGGTAGAAAGAGAGAAACAGAGATGTGTGAGAGAAACATTGATTGGTCGCCTCCCTCACATGCCCCGCACAAGATTCAAACCCCCAACCTGGGTATGTCCCTGACTAGGAATCAAACCTGCCAGTGCACAGGATGATGTTCCCACCAACTGAGCTGCAGCAGCCAGGGCTTGAGCAGAGGTATGATGGGAGTGATCAGTCACCATTTCTCAGGTGAGCACGTGTGAAACCATACAGCCCCTGATGGTATGGAACAGTGACCGATGCCCTCTAGGCCTCAGGATTGGGGTTGGGGTGAGAACTGTCCCTCACACATTGTTTAGTAATAGAAAAGAAAAGCCTTGAGAATTTAAAGGTTTGTGCTTTTAGAATTTGTAAAATGACTCCAGTACGGATAAGAATGGTCTTCATTGCCTTCCCTGCACCCCAAAATACAGCACACATCCATTTGTTCATTAGGGTTGTCAACCAAAGGTTGCTGCTGCCAGTTTAACTCCAACAGGAGTTCCCAATTTGGGATGCAGTGGAGAGAGGGGAGTCTTGATTCAGTGTAAACAGCTCAATTGTGATACAGCTCAATGGTGAAACAGCTTAGCTGTGAGATGGCTCATTTCAAAGTGGCCCAGGCGAAGCCGGTGAGGTGGCTTGGCTCTGGTGTTACAGCTCCAGCTGGGGAGACAGTCTTTATGAAAATCCAAAGTGCACTCTGTTGAGGTAAAGTTGGCTTATTTAGAGAAGAGTGCCAGCCTGTGGTCTGTGATTGGTCCATTTCTATGCAAATGAAGACTCACAGTTTGATTGTTCCAAACAGCACTATCCTGGTTGTTTGGAATGGAGCTACTCTGATTGGTCAGGGAAGATGCAAATGAATTATACCTGTGCAGCTCCTATTGATTGGGATGCACAGGTATCATTGGTGCATTTATACACCTAGGAGCTGCTTTTTCTTTTTTTTTAAATAAATATTTTAAATTGATTTTTGGAGAGCTAGGAAGGGAAAGGGAGAGAAAGAGAAACATCCATGTGGGAGAGCAATACTGATGGGCTGCCTCCTGCACACCTCCTATGGGGATTGAACCTGAAACCTTGGCATGTGCCCTGACCAGGAATTGAACCAGCTACTTTTCAGTGCATGGGACAATGCCCAACCACACTGGCCAGGGCTGGGACCTTCTTTATAGGGGTTAATTCAGGTGTCAGGAACACAGTGCAGGAGGCAGGCAGCTCAGTGCAGCTTTACCCAGAAGCGCAGAGGGGATGAGAGGCTCCTGTTTAGCAACAACTATTAAAATCTTTATAAATTTGAGTCTAATGAGCCATTAGGAGTCTTTCTTAGTAGGTATTTTCTTTCTCAGGGTCGACAGGTGTAAATTTTCCTACTGCTGAGCCCTGAATACCCACATAGCAATCCAGCATTCTTTGCTCTCCAGGAGCTCAGAGCCAGCTAGCAAAAACCACCCTGGCCAGTGTGGCTCAGTGATTGAGCATCGACCTATGAACCAGGAAGTCATGGTTCGATTCCTAGTCAGGGCACATGCCTGCCTGGGTTCCAGGCTCGATCCCCAGTAGTGGGCATCCAGGAGGCAGCTGATCCATGTTTCTTTCTCATCAATGTTTCTATCTCTCTCTCCCTTCTCCCTCTCCCTTCCTCTCTCTCTAAAAATCAATGGAAAAAAACCCCATTAAAAAAAGATATAATTAAGATAGGTTAAAAATACAAGTTAGAAGGAAAAAGACATATGGTGATGATGAAATCACTCTCCTCTGACCAGAACATTATGTCAAAGTTCACATGATATTAAAAATGAAAAACTAACAAATGTACCCTTAATGTTTTATCTTTCTTTTATCTTTCCTTTCCTGCCACTTCCTCCTTAACATTTATGTATTATACTTCTGTATTCTGCCCCAGTGAATTATACCAAATTTCCATAGTTGTGCCTCTGTTTTAGGAGCTTGAGCAGATATTGATTTTGCTTTAATAATAACATCTTTTGTGTTTCACCATTAGGTAGGACGTTGGTTGTTGATTTGGAAAAGATATTTCTAAGCCAGTTAAAGGACTATTTTGTTTCTGTTTTGAAGATTTTTATTAATAATGGGGAGTTATTTAAAATGTATCAATATAGTATTTTATTTTATTATTATTATTTTTTAATCCTTACCCAAGGATATGTTTTCATTGATTTTAGAGAGGGAGAAAGATAGATAGACAGAGAGATAGAGATAGAGAGATAAATAGAGAGAGAGAGAGGGAGAGAAAGAGAAAGATTAATTGGTTGCCTCCCATATTCGCCCAGACCAGGAATCGAACCCCCAACTTTTAGGTGTATGGGATCATGCTCCAACCAACTGGCCACCCAGCCAGGACAGTATAGCATTTTAACAACCATTGAGATGACATTAACATTTTAAAAAAATCTTTATTGATTTCAGAGAGGAAGGGAGAAGGGGACAGAGAGAGGTAGAAACATCAGTGATGAGAGAGAATCATTGATTGGCTGCCTCCCGCACTGCCCACACTGAGGATTAAACCTGCAACTTCAGCATGTGCCTCGCCCATGAATCGAATCATGACCTCCGGGTTTATAGGTGGATGATCAACCACTGAGCCATGCCAGCCAGGTGACATATGCATTTCTTAACTTAGCAATATTTATTGTCTTCTATGTGCCAGGTGCTGATAATCCCATGTTTGATATTTTTTTTTGGGGGGGTGTTAATCTTCACCAGAGAAAAATTTTCCATTTGTTTTTAGAGAGAACAGAAGGGAGAGAGACAGATAGAAACATCTATGTGAAAGAGGCACATTGATTGGTTGCTTCCTGCATGAGCCCTGACTGATCAGGGCAGGGAAGCCTGAAACTGAGGTACATGCCCTTGACAGGAATCGAACCTGGGACCCTTCAATCTGCAGGCCAATGTTCTGTCCACTGAGCCAAACTGGCTAGGGCCCACATCTGATTTTCATCTCCCCTTTTATTAGCTGGCAAATCCTGGGCAATATGATTACCTTTTTCTGAGTTTTTGCTATCTTATGTGTAAAACTTATGTGGCCCGGTGCGTGGATTTGTGCATATTGAAAGGAAATTAATTAGAAGAAAGATTCCTGAAGTAATTACATTATTGCAAAAAAATTACATGTCAAAATAGTATATATAATATCTATTTATACAAAAACCCTGGGTGTAACTCGTCACGACCATGGCTGGACCAACCAGAAGGAAGTCAGTCCTGCAGGGTTTGTCTTGGCAATGGCTGTGCCCTCCCTGAGCTGTTTCCTGGAGCTGTTTCCCCGCAAGGGCAAGGTTTGAGGCAGGAACTGACCCTTGGAACGTACTGAGTCCTGGGTCCTCTTTGCAACAGCTGCCCCCTCCCCAAGCTGTTTCCAGTAAGGGCGAGGTTTGAAGCAGGAAACGGCCCTCAGAGTGTGGAGGCATATCATTATAAAGCTTTAATACATTATATTAGCGGTTGTGGTGGTACTGTTTTACCCACAGTGTCTATAGGACTTGCTGCAAATTTACTTCTCGGTGGAAGCACCTTTCATTCCCAATATAAACTACCCATTCCATTACACGAAGCTTCAAGACTCAATATAAACTTCTAGACTCAATATAAACAGCGAAGTTGCTAAGACTATTAAAAAGGCCCAACTTCTCATTATTGATGAATGCACCATGGCATCCAGTCATGCTATAAATGCCATAGACAGATTACTATGAGTGAATTTCTCAAATTACTATGAGAAATTACTATGAGAAATTATGAATTTGAATGTTGTATTTGGTGAGAAAGTTCTTCTTGGAGGGGATTTTCGACAATGTCTCAGTATTGTACCGCATGCTATGCGATCAGCCATAGTACAAACGAGTTTAAAGTACTGTAATGTGTGGGGATGTTTCAGAAAGTTGTCTCTTACAACAAATATGAGATCAGAGGATGCTGCTTATAGTGGATGGTTAGTAAAACTTGGAGATGGCAAACTTGATAGCAGTTTTCATTTAGGAATGGATATTATTGAAATCCCCTGTGAAATGATTTGTAATAAATCCATTATTGAAGCTACCTTTGGAAATATTATATCTATAGATAATATTAAAAATATATCTAAACATGCAATTCTTTGTCCAAAAAATAAGCACATTCAAAAATTAAATGAAGAAATTTTGAATATACTCGATGGAGATTTTCACACATATCTCAGTGATGATTCCATTGATTCAACAGTTGATGCTGAAAAGGAAAATTTCCCCATCGAATTTCTTAATAGTATTACTCCTTAGGGAATGCCATGTCATAAATTAAAATGGAAAGTGGGTGTAATCATCATGCTATTGAGAAATCTTAATATTTTCTGGGCACTT